TAAAGATGATGCCTCCCTCTTGATTTTCTAACACTGCAAGTATGTGCTGTTAAGCAAATATACAAATTTGGTTTACAATTTACAGTAAGTCAGGATTAGGAAGGCCTGTTTCCCTTCCTCCCCACCAAAATATATAGATTACAGTTGTGGGTGCTTCTTGTACTGAGAAGTTAAAGGTGGGAAGGCTCTGTAGTCAAACTCCTTGTGTATGGGTCAGGGTGTGAAATTAAGCTCACGCCTGTGCTTTAAAATGTTGTTGCCTTAATTGTGTTGGCATAGTTAAAGCAGTAAAATAACCACTGTGTAGAAAGCAGTTCAACCAGTGTGAAAATGCTTATAGCAATATAGTTATTCTAGTCTGATGAAGTGAAATAATCCATCTACTGGTATAAAGCTTCTTACCCTAGCATGGCTTCATTTACAATGGAACATTTACCAGCATAATTATGTTGATAAAAAGCCAGAATCCCTTATCATGAGTTAGGCCAGTAATGCTTTTTAAGCATAACCCTGATAAGGAGAGGAGAAGAGAGGGAAACCTCTAGAAAACTTACTGTACCAGGATAGAAACAAAGAATGTTAGGATCAACAAACAAAAATCAGGACAAATGAGAGGACTAACCATAGCCGGAAGAGGCAGAAAATGGGAAAAAACCCTACTAAGCAAGTGGCTTAATTTGAGGGAACAGATGTTTATTTCTTCCAATTAATGTTTAAAAATATAGGAGCTTGGAGTTAGGTTCCCAAATCCAAACTGAGGCCAGTGGCAGCCAGACTTTAGGCTTCTAATTTTGAATTTCTTGGCCTAATTGGATTGGTAACCAAGAAAGTGATTAGTGGTCTTTGCCTTTAAAACAGCTAGACTCCCCCAGAAAAGAAAGACAAATGATCTGTTTATGTGTCAGCTAAACATCACATGTTGCCTTAACAACTGACGTATTTGTCAAGGTTATGACAATTATTTAAATTATAATACAAATTTAAGAAATGAGAGCTGTAACAGTCCTAAGTAATATATATCAATTTGCAACTACTATAAGATTTAGGATTTTTCCCTCACTCAAATGTAGTTTTGGGAAGGAAAAATAATAATAATTTAAAAAAAAAAGGTGTGAGGATTTTAGTACATTATAAGGCTTTCATTTTGTTAAGATTCTCACAAATTTTAACTTTACAAATCATGATGGCTTGTTTGCATACACTCTCTAACTGGATTAATAACTCTCTGTCAAATTTAACAACACAGTGAACATCAGGAATGAATTAATCTGAAACCCCTTGGTAACCACCATAGCTACTTAAATGATGTCCTTTGACACACAGAAATGTTCATGCACCATATGCAGAAAGGATGGGGCAAGTTAAGCATTTTTACAAAGAAGGGTCTGTTCTCTGTAACATGATTCCAGCATTTAGTTAGTTCAGGCAACAGCAGCGGTGCCTGCAGAAACTCTGGATGGAAGAGAAGGATTTTGAATTCAGTAGAGTTGGAGCTGCTGTGTCCCATCTGGAGGGTGGGAAAATGAAGGTGAAGAGGAAAGAGTTTGGACTCAATTTAGAAGTTGAATATACAGAAGGGAAAGAGAGAGAGGACTGATGCATAAGAACACAATTCTGTTTGTTGTTATTGCTTGTTACAGAGACTATCCTGGTGTGCTATGGCAGATCAAAGAAGCCAAGATCATTACCCTAAAGAATTAATTTCTTAACTATTTCCATTTTGATGGAAAGAACATAAAAATAATTTGATTGCACTCATGCACATTTGATTTCAGTCCATATTTGTTGTAACTGAATTCTATCCTTCCTAGGATATCTTATGATAACTTAAAATAGCGTAATTGAAAGTATGTATGAATTAAGCATGTAATATTATATGATAAAGTATGATGCATTCAGCCCAAGGTTTTCTGAGGTTATTAAACATTTAATCTATGAAAATGTGGATGACTAAGGCATAGTTTTCAAATTTAGTCCAGATCTACACTGCAGGCATTTACTGGAAAAGCTGTTTTGGTTAGCGGTTTGATGTATGAATGACTTCAAGATTCCAGTAAAAGTTTCCTAAGGCAAGGCTGCCTAACTTTGGTATGGCTGGGGGCTGCATGCAACACTTGTGTACGGCTCCAGGCAGCACACTACAGGGGCCACATGCTGTAGGGGTGCCTCCTGGTCAGTGCCAGTGGCGTGCAGCCTTTGGCTCCTGAACGAACCCTCCTGTGCCATGCAGAAGCGGAAGAGGCAGCTCCAGGGTTTTGTTGGCTGCATATTAACCACTTGCATGGGCTGCCAGTTTGCAGTCCTGCTCTAAGGCAGGGGTGGCTAACCTGTGGCATGCACACCACAAGTGGCATGGGCATGTGGCAGATTGAGGAAAGGACACGCATCACAGCAGCATATACTGCAGGAAGCAGAAAGCAAAGCAACAGATTGGGCAAGGGAAGGTGATTGGAGTGGCACTCAGAAGGGTGCAGGGCTAATTTGTGGCACCTGCCTAAGAGTTTGGCCCCCTCATTGCTCTATGTTATACTGACAAAACCGTGCTTCTGCATGAATCATATCTTTTGCTTGGGTGACAGCAAGCTATACTATAAAAGTCTGCTCTAGGAGTGCTTTGCCAGTACAGTATACTGGTTTAATATATCTAGAAAAGTAAAGCTTTCCAAGGGTAGAACTAACCTGTATTTGGACTCCTAATGGTGGGCTTTTTTGTCCGCATCTCTGATTCCATAAATGTAGATTTTCCTTTGCGTCACCTCCACTGTTAACTGATTTTTATAAGCTGAAGCTGCTACCTACTAAAAGTGGTTTTGTGATCCATACATATTTTTAAATTAATCTGGACTATATTTAAACTTAATCCATTCCCAGAAATATTCCAAATGAATTCTTGAGAAATGGATGTTTCATTTCTAGACCAACTCAGAGTGGAAAAAATTATCTGTTTATATTTGTTGAATTAAGACCTTGTTACACATTAGTTTTAGGTAGCTCCTGGAGCTTTTAACCCCTGGATTGTCCTCACATTAACACCTGAAATTAGTGCACTTTAGGTGGCTTAAAGTTATGCCACTCCAGGGCAAGTTTATCTCTGATCTGTGTTTCCCAGTTTATGGTTCATTAATATGTGGGCACTCCCACACTAACCAAGCAAAGGTGAAGACAAAGCAAAGCTGCCCAAGTTGCAGTCCTCTGGCATCCTAGGATGCAGTGTCCGCACCCTGACCCTCCTGTTCTGTGTGGACAAACTTTCCACCTCAACAGCTCTGTAGTGTCTAGTCACAGTTGTGTAGGTTTTTATCCTTAACGTGTGACTGCTCCAAACTTGAGCTATCACTAACATGGATCAGCATTGGAGTAGGTCAAAGTGCAGTGTGTAACCAGACCCTAAGAATAGATTGTCACTTTGTAAAATAATCTAAGAAAATGTTTTTTTGTTCACTTTTTATTGCTGACTGTTTTCTACTTTCTCTTTCATAATTACCTGTGTCTTGCCTCTAGCTGGTGGTCATAAAACTTACAGATCAGTTAACAGAGATACCGTGCTCTAAGAACAAGATCCTCCTCCACCTCTCCTTTTTCTCTGCACCACAATATATACTTTTATGAGATGTATTTGGCAAAATAGATCTACTCTAAAATTTAGAAATTTCAGTGCACTGCTCTTTGGATAACAGCTTTAAGAGTGAGACAACAAGTAGACTGCAAAGAATAAACTGAAAAACTGATTTTCATTATGTAGGAGTGTACATTTATCTCTTTGTACCTCTGTACTTGATTATGATATTGTTTCTAATGCAAAACACTTGCTTTTTCAAATCTGTATGAGGTCAAATATTTTTATAATGGAGAACTACACAATAGGTATTTTGGGGAATTCTCTAAATTTGTAGCTATCTAGTTGTACAGTTTCCCCCCTTTACGAGTCTTTTCACCTCTTCATTACTCAGTTTACCTAACCCCTTGTGTCTAGAGTTCTGGGCTTTAATTTCAAAGGTCCTAGAAGTGATCTCCTCTTTTAGTCCTCATGAGTGTTTCAAGACTGTTGTTAAGGTGTTTTCTAGTGGTGTTTCAAGCTGTTTCTGGACTTGAAGTTTTGCAACTGAGCTCTAGTTTCAACACATGCCTGTTCACGATTCTTGCACTTGGCTGGTGGTTCTCTACCTTTTTAGACCCAAGGCACACCTCAGTAGATGCCAGCTTTTAGCTGTCACTCATATTTGACTACAAAAAAATATTAGAGCAATTCTTCTGCTGCAAAGAACTTGGAAAGACCACAACATGTCAGAATGTTTTCAGTGCTATGGATTCATACATGACATCTCTGTTTTTGCTATGAATCATGTGTCGGTGTTTCCACTCCTAACAATGTTACTATGTACACATAGTTCCACACCGCCCTTAAAAGAATCTAGAGCAGCATTTCCCAACCTTGGAGTTGCGAGCCCATTTAGGGTCACAGTGATAAAAAATGGGATCTCAAAGATGCTTGACAGTGTCAGCTGACTATGCATTTAATAGGTTTTTTAGACTTTGTATTCAATGTTGTTTTTTAAATCTAAAAAGAAGTTACAATGATTTAAAATGTTTTAAATGAAAAAATATCAAGACCATAAACATTATAATGCCATGTTTATGACTTGTTGATCTTGTCTGCATCATTGTGGGGTCGCAAAAAATTTCAGATGTTTAAATGGGGTCATGCTGAGGAAAAGGTTGGGAAGCCTTGATGTAGAGTCACTGCACTAGAACAACTTCAGCTCCTGTTTTTCAAGTAATGAATCTTTGAAGGTTGTTAATATTTAGCAGTATGATTTCCTCCAGAATAACTTGCTTTCTTTTTAAAGTGATATCACTGTGCACTTTCTGTGTAGGAGTTGGCATCTTATGCTATGTTAGTGCAGATCAACATGCTGTGACACAACTGTATAACTTTCCTTTGTCTTTTTTTTAATTTACTCATGTTTTTCTTTTGCTTTGATTTGTTGCTGACATTGCAGCAAAAGCATACTCAGGAATATGGAAAGATCTTCAAGTCTCGCTTTGGTTTCCAGTTTGTAGTATCCATTGCAGACAGAGACATGATTGCTCAGGTTCTCCGGGCAGAAGGTGGAGCTCCACAAAGAGCTAATATGGAATCCTGGCAGGAGTACAGAGACTTACGCGGAAGAGCCACTGGACTCATTTCTGCGTAAGTATAGTCACTTCTTCCTTTTCCATGTTTTCATCATCAAAGCATATTTAATCTTCTGGAACACCAGATAAATCAGACTGGAGGACCTTCTGCTTAGGGCTTATCTGCACAAGAAACTTAGAGTGCAATAAACTAAGGTGTGAATTTGTAGTGAGCTCGGCATTTTGCTCTAACTCCTCAAAGTTCAGGCACACTAAGGGTGAGACAGTGTTCTCCACTTTGAGAGTGGAGTTATCTGCTACACAAAAAGGCAGCCCTGTTGAGGACTACGATTGTCTATTGTGGGTGCTTCTACATGAACCGTTTACTGCAGAGCTGACTAATTAGCTCTGCAGTAAAGCCTCTGTGTGTACATGTGTGGCTCTATTAAGCTGCAGGAAACTAATGAACTCCACCATACGTTAGTACTTGTAAACACAAGTGCTGTCTTATGGTGGCATTCTTCAGTGCACAGCAACACGTGTTTAGACGCTGATGAGGCTGGTGGGGAATTAAGGTTGCTTCAGTGTGGAGGCTGCCTGCCAGCTAGTCCTGCACTGAAGTACCCCCATGCTCCAGCCAGCCCCTCCACAGCATGTTGAGCCAGGTTGGAGCAGCCCTGGCAGGCTGACCCCCTCAGGCCCCCAGCCAGCCGGGAATGCTCTGACCTGGCTCAGTGAGCTGCAGTCCCAGGCATATGTGTAAATGCAGGAGCAATAAACTCCAGTGCGGGAACAATAAACTCCAGTGCGATATGTGCCGGAGTTTATAGCTTCATATTAATTGCACGTGTAGATGTCCCCACAGGGAATTAATAATGGGGAGTAGCTAGTGCATCCTAGTTTACTGTGCTCCAATTTCCTTGTGTGGACAAGCCCTTTATTTGTAGCTGATTCACAAAGAATTATCTGCCTCTCAAAGCTTGTCTATAACATGATTGCACATGCTTGCGTGGGTGTGATCAACTGTCCCATGGTGTTTTTACAGTCTTCAATGATGTAAGGTATTTATTCAAAGGGAAACTAATTATTTTGAGTCATGACTATTCTCTTGCTTTTGCTACTGCACTTTTATCCTGTCAAAAGGCTCTTTGTAGTGTAAACCTGAGAATGAGATTAGTATTAAATTCAGTCTTAAAATAATAATACAACAAAGGCCAGAATTACAATAATGGCACCCAACCATCAAATTATATTTGGAAGGTGCTAGTTAAAGGAATGAAACTTCTTTGTGGGCCAGTAACAATTTAAAACATGCAGCAGCATCATTCCAACTGGAATGGTTTCAGGAGGAATACTTTTGCAAATAGAGATTTAAAAGTAATCTTTAGAAGACTTCTGCTTTGTCTGCTTGAGAAACTGTAGCATATTTCCACGTGATATAGATACATAAACTCTTATCCCCGGCTGTATTTCATCCATGAGGCATGATAAATAAAATTCAAGACCTTAAGCTTTAAACACACAGGCCTCTGCAAAAGACAAATCTCTTTTGCTTGTTTGTAGTTTGTTCTGTCCTATTTGAATTCTTCCCCCAAACTGAAAATAAACATTTCAGCACATCTGATTCACTCCAGCTAGAGACAGTAGTGTGCATAAACACATAGTAATAAATGAATTAGCGTGAGCCTTTTCAGTTGACACCTCCAAAGCTGTTTAGGTAATTTTTAGTCTAGGAATGATCTGTTTTAAACTCCTGTAGACTCAGGAGTTGAACGGATTGCAATTTATTACAGATTTCAGATAAGCATAACTAGGCCTGATATATGAGTAAATAATATTGTTATGTTAAATCAAATTATTGGTCTATCATATCTGGTTATGTTGCTTTTGTATAAAAGAAATTACACACACACATATACTGTTTAGTTAAAAGAAAAATTAAGGAAGTTTAAATGCAATGTGTGTGTATATTAATTTATTGCATTTTATCTTTGTTCATTTGTTTTATTTTATATTAAACAATGATGTTTGAGAAACTAACTGCCAAATGGCTTCCCACACTGATTGTCTATGATCGAGTGGGAAACTACACAGTAGCAGGGAACACTGATGGCAGCACTGTCAAATGCACCCATTGTTTATGACTCCGTAGCGATGAGGTGTGATCCAGTAAATGATCGGTGCACACAAAATGTTTTTTTTCAAAATTGCCATTAGTTTTTTAAATATCTTTGTATGCACCACTCCAGTATCTATCTGAATCCAAGATTCCATCAAATTTAACACAATCGCCCCATAATGAGATTGTATACATGGAAAATTTAAAATTTGCTATAATTTCCCACATATAAAATTAAATTATTGGGGGGGGGTCATCTCTAAATTCATTCCCTCACTGCTGGGGTGGGGAAAGAAATGGTAGGGGTGAAGGACCAGGTGCCTGCCCCCTGCCATGTATCCCTCCTTCCGCATGCTCCCTGCCTCACACTGCATGGACCTCTCACTCTCTGCCCACCCTGCCATTACTTTCTGCAGCAGCTCTGCTTCTCTGGGGCAATCAGCAGCAGTGTAGCCCTGGCCTGGCCTCAGCGCAGCCTAGTCAGGAAGAAGAGCCTGGCAATCTTGGCTGAGCTGGGTTGGGGCTGGAGGGACAGGAGCTGGAGCAGAAGGTAAGGTGAAGGAGAGAAACAGGGGGAAGGGAGGCAGGAACAAACAAGGGGGAGGGGAGAAGGGGCAGGCTGCAGGTTTTCTACCCACATATGGCCCATGGTCTCCTCAGGTTCCTCCCAGCCATGTGTTCCCTGCCCTATGAGATTAGCCGTTCTGGCTCAGGACAGTGGGTGGCTCAGAATCATAGAAAGTGAGGGTTGAAGGGACCAAAGGAGGTCACATCTAGTCCAAGCCCCTGCTCAAAGCAGGACCAGCCCCAACTACATCATCCCAGCCAGGGCTTTGTCTACCTGGGTCTTAAATACCTTCAAGGGTGGAGAGTCCACCACCTCTCTGGGTAACCTGTTCCAGTGCTTCACCGTCCTCCTGGTGAGAGAGTTTTTCCTAATATCCAACCTTAACTTCCCTTGCTGCAACTTGAGAACATTGCTCCTTGTTCTGTCATCTGCTGCCATTGAGAGCAGTTTTGGGGCTGGGGCCAAAGCCAGAGCTGAGTCACCACTTGCCTTGGGCTGGTACTCAGGTCCAAGATGAGACTTATTTTCCATTCTTGCTGATGGAGGGGAGAAAACCTTGTCTTGGATTTGAGTAAAAACGATGTTATGTATAACTGTATCTATATATCTTATCTATATACATATCTGTATATCTATATAGATAAGATAGATCTAGATAGATATAAATCTATATCTATATATATGTGTGTATATGTATATATGCATATATATATATACACATACACGTGTGGTGTGTGCGCGTGTAATACGTGTGTATATACACATTACATTTTATCTTTTTAAATGTTTTCTACACACACACATATACATACGTATAAATGTATATACACACAGAAACACATACATATATATATGAAAATGTGATAACAAGCAAAACCAAATCTATGGCATGCTATTTTGGTCTGTTACTTTAGGTACTTAGCACAGATGTGACTAAAACAGGCATCTGAAGGCACACATATTTCAGACGGAAAAATTATACAGTTCTAACCCTCTAACGAGAATATGTTAATTAAACTTACAAACTTGGTTGTGTATTGTAACAACAACATCAGCCCAATTTATACAGTGACTTGTTATTTGCATTAAAATTTGGAGTGAAACCATAAGAATGTAGAACTTGACACACTGAAACCACTACTTGAGGGGGAATACTGAATTTGTTTGTCAGCATCTAATGAAAGGTTCTCATTTAACCTATAGTTTCTGCTGATTTAGCAGTTGTCAGGAAGAATTGCATGCATGCATTTTTAATTACTTCTTCTAGGGAGGGGGATCAGTGGCTAAAAATGAGGAAGGTACTAAGACAGAAAATCCTGAAACCCGAAGATGTATCTGTTTTCTCTGGACCAGTCAATGAAGTTATTACTGATTTAATTAAGAGAATCCACACACTCAGGAGACAAGAGGAAGATGGGGAAACTGTGACCGATGTAAACAACCTCTTCTTCAAGTATTCTATGGAAGGTGAGACATACACTGGATAGTACCTTGAAAGAAAAGCGCTAACCATGCAATTATAATTATGTGTTTCTGGCATAAAAATCTACTGCTATGCTTGAGCTAAACAATAAAGAAACAGAGGCCTTGATTCCATAAATGCTGCAGTCAGGCAGCTCTTTCTGCCAGTGAATTTTGGTAGCATTCTTTCATCAGTCAAAACCCATGCAATAACACTTTGATGCTAAATGGCACTTGCTGTTGAAGTCGTATCCGTAGACACAGTGTAAAAACAACACCCTATGCAAAATGCTGTGGAATTGTTCACAAGAGTAGGGTAGGTAAGCTTCATTAGGATGGCCAAATTCCAGATGAGTTTGTTGCATTTGGCTTGATTAAATTCTGCCACAGTCTCAGGTATAAAGAAGTACTACGCTTTGTTGTCTAAATCTACTTGATTTTGGATTCTAACATTTTCTCCTGAAGCATCTGTCACTTGTTATTGTTGGAAAGAGAATACTACAGTAGATGGATCTCCGTTCTGAACCAGGATGGTGATTATTATGTTCATATGTAACATTTTTTTTTTTTGGTCTTGATTTTCATAGAAACATGGGGCTGGAAGGGATCTCAGGAGCTCATCCAGTCCAACTCCCTGTTCAGAGCAGGATCATTCCAGTCCAAGCTATCCTGTAGAAGTGTGTCTAATCTATTCTTAAAAACTGTGAGCACCCCTCATCCCTGACATGCAGAACTTTTATCCACAACATCAAGAGCACCCTAACTTGCCATAGTTAAAGCAGGGGAATGAGATCACTAAGTGTCTTCCCACTGCAAGCCGTATTCTGCGACTGCTTTTAAGTATGTTTCATTCACTTATCAAAGCATTTGATTTTCAGTAATTGAATTATATAAATCATTAGACTTTTGTGATATTTACCAGTGTTTGCTTTAAAATGTCATATGGTCTTTTAACTCACGCAGCATAATGTTTTCTTATAATTATGCTAAGAGAAGTTCTGTTACATAATATCCATCAGAAAGAACCTCATTTAAATGTAGTCTCTCTCACTGTACAATAAAATATTGTATATCTGCCTGATGCTTAAAATTTTGGCACTCTTTGGTGAGGACTAGTGACTCATTGAGATTTGTAACCACTTCCAGCATTGCTGACCTATGAAGCTGCTGTCTCAAATGGCTGACTACTTGGTAAGCTAACCTGGGTCTATTCTAAGTAGATAATGTCCAAAAAACTAGTGTAAGCTAAGTACCAGTGGTCTTAAGGCACTTTAACCCTTTGAGCTACATGTTGCCTTTGATTGGTATTGAAATTATTTACGTTCCTTTTGAATTTTTATTTTTAACCTGCTCCTGTCATTACATATAAAATCATCTTATGCTATTTGATTATTATTAATCTAAATTATGCCCAAAGACTTTTGAGAATTATCTGGAGAAGATTCATAGATTGTTAGGGGCTGGTGCAAGATCATTGGTCCAGCTCCCTGGCATTAGGCAGAAAAGACAAGTGGGGTCAGGTGACCCCAGCAAGGTGACCGTCCAGTCTCCTCTTGAAGATTTCCAGGAGAAGATAATCTAATGGATAATGGCAATGAGAATTGGAAGTATAAAAAATAAACCTGTTATATGCATAAGAGTAAACTGCCCTAATGCAGAACAAAGTTAAGGAGCTTAGAGACCATTATGGCTGCATAGGGAGCTCTTGAAAAGGGAGCCTGTAGTGACTGGCTCCTCCAGGGCACCTGCGAACACAAAGCACATGCACTGGTTTAATTTGCTCTGGTATTATTTTACCTCTGATTTTTTCTGGGCTAATTCTACATCAGATTCAAGTGAGGATAAAGTTACATGTAGACCATACTTAGGGCACTTAAAACATGAGCTTTAAAGCTCGTCAGTTTATGCTAAGTGCCAAGTGAGTGCCTCAAAGTTATGTCATTTCAGACAAGAATTAACTCTGGGTTGGAGAGGAATTTATTGGAGGAATGGTGTATCAGGAGCTAGTGAGCATGGGAGTTAAGGGTACAGGCTCTGAATCAGAACTTCCTAGACCTGAAATCCTGGAGGCTCAAGTGGGAGAGGAGCAATGGAAACAACCCAGGTCATACCCTCTTTGCTCTCCCTTTCAGCATCTATTTTCTGCCTCCATGTGAGATACTGGGCAAGATGGACCTATGGTCTCACCCAGTAAATAGCTGTTCTTATGGTCTAAGTCCATCACCTTATGGGGAAAAAAAACAAGGAAGGCTGAAGTGTTCTGTGCCCCTTTGCCCCCCTCAATTATTTTTTTTTGCTTCAGTCTTCATGAAAATGTTTATTGGGACCAGGTACTTAAAAAGAAGATTTATAGCCATGAGAGAAGTGAGCTTGTGAAGTTGTAGTACAGGCAATATATTTACTTTTCAGGCAAAGTTGGATAACTTTATCTGAGGAATTATACAATGTGTGGGCTGAGATAGTTGGGAACTGCACTGGATGGCTCAGGAGGCCCCTTCCAGTCCTAGATACTGTAAAAAGGGAAATCAACAGGTGTGATATTACTTGGACTTTAGCTTTCTTGCAAGAAAACTAGCAAATTACAGTCCAGGTAAAATTATTGTAAGATGGATTCACACCTGGTTTAAAACTACTCCCAAATGAGGAATTATCAGTGGCTTGCTGTCAAACTGGGAGGGTATTTAATTAGGGTACTACAAAGCACTCTGTCCCAGTCCTGGTTTTATTCAATATTTCCTTTAACGATTTGAATGACAGACTAGAAAATACACCTATAAAACCAAACTGGGAAGGGTTGCAAGTTCTGTGCAGCACAGACTCTTATCTTTCAGACCTAAGTTGGCTTACTGTACATAAAAACACAGCGGTTGGTGGTAGATCTAATACTTCTGACATTAGGAAAATTCTTTGTTTTTGATAATACCCACAGTTATGTTCAGTGGGTACAAACAGAAATCATGGTCCCTACCCCAAATTGCTTACAAACCAAAATCCTCAGGCTAACTAAAAAGAAGAGAAACAAGTTTTATCTTCATGCTTCCATCTGGAGGTAATAAATAAAAACATAAAAGTGCCAGCCTGAAGGCATATTGACAGTGCAGTCTGTCACCACGCAATGGACCCAGGTTCAGTTACTGACTTTAGTCCTCTCTCTCTTTCTCTGTCTCTGTAATCTTGACTGTTTACTTACGTTAAGTGTATCCACTCTGCTTACTTTGAATTAGTGTAAACTTTGCCTCACATCTCTAATAGGGATACTGTACATCTATTTTGTTATGGTTGTCAGACAGATTGTTACATATGCTATTGTTCTTGAACTGTCAAAAAGAATGATAATAGTAATTGGCAAACTGTATCTAGATGTTTCTGCTAAAAATGATCAGCAGTAAAACAACTTTGACAGTTATATTGCTCCTTAGCTTTCAGCTTCATCAACTCCATTGAAAAAAACCATACCCCTCACCTGTTGTTTCACTCTGCCTTCAGCTTCAGTAAAAAAATGTGCATTGACTGTTTTTGGTTGGCATCTTTCAAATTTTCTTCACAACTATAAGTACCAGAAACTTGTTTTTAATGAAAGTTTAGGTTCTGGACTGACCTATTCAAAAACAAGTAGAAATTTGGTGATATTAACTGATTATGTTGTTTCTTTACAGCTTTAGTTTAATGAATCTACAGAAAAGCTTTGTGTATGTGTGATTTTTTTGTTTAAAGGAGTGAGAAGTGAGGAAAATGTAAGTGTAATGAATCAAATAAGGATCCAGGTATTAGCAAGCAAAAAAAAGGGGGATATTAAATTTTAATGCCTTTATCATTGATAGGACAAGGAAGATCATTAAGTATGCTCTCTGATTTATAAGGGACTGTATTATTCCTAGACCATATGCAGTATGTGCTTGTCAGAATGATTAACCAGAGGCTCAGGCACACCAAAGCCAACAAAATTCATATGGTTACTAATTCTAGCCCATATCCCTCTGCTTAACATCTGCTGAATGCAACCAACAGACAGATCAACAAGATGCAACCAAAGCTATACTTGTCACTGTTCAAGGACATCTTGTTACTGGCTGACTGCATAATAGAAGTCTTATTTGGACAGTGCTGCCATGCTCTCCATCCAGCTAAGACTATCACCAGCTTACTGTGACAGAGAGAATGGGAGAAAGGGCCTCTGCCAGGACAAGGTACTCTCATATCATTAGCAGATTGCATGAAAAGCTGTCTGGCTTTGGGTTCCCTCACTTCTTCTGGAGATGCGCTCAAATGCAATGTGATGCCCTGTGTTAAGATTTACCAGGTCTTTGGCATCTAGGGGTATCCACCTGGCACTGTCATGCTATGGAGGATGCCATGCAGTTGCTGGACAGTTGCTCTTTAGATTTTGGGCTGCCTAGAGGTCTTCCCAAGTCAAACACTACTGATGTAGAGGCTGCTGACTGCCTCAAGACTTATTTTTCTGCTTTGTATGTGTGCTTTTTTTAAACCCTGTCTTGCTTGTTTTGCTATTTTGCAACAATGGCAGCAACAGCAACTACAGTACTTGTTGTAATTGGTCACTTTTTTGGAAGTAGGTTCTTTTCCTTTAGCTTTTAATTATTTACCATAAATAATTTAAAAATGAATGAGGACGCTATAAATTCTGTGCCCTTTCTCTTTTGCAGGTGTGGCAGCTATTCTGTATGAATGCCGATTAGGGTGCTTGGAAAACAGTGTCCCAGAGAAGACTGTAGAATACATTGAGGCTTTGGCGTTGATGTTTAGCGTGTTTAAGACCGCTATGTATTCAGGGATTATTCCCAAATGGCTTCGTCCACTTATTCCAAAACCCTGGAATGTTTTCTGCAGATCCTGGGATGGACTCTTCAAATTCAGTAAGATTTAAACAGAAAAGTTCAGCTTTGTCTCTCTCTAGCAGCTGGCACTGTCTTGAATAGAACTTATTGCATTTGTAGTATTATATTAAGAATGTGGAAAAGAAGGAGAAAAAGGAGAATAAAATAGGTAAAATATTAAGGGATTATTTATCATGGTACAATAGGAGAAATAGATGAACTTTCACATTGCATTCCAGGAAAAACTGCTTGACAAAGAGATGTCAGTCTGTAGCGGGGTGATATTTTTAGAGGAGGTGTGAAAGTTTCATCCTGAAAGTAGCCTGAATGAAACACTAAAATAAGTATTCTAGGAAACAGTCCTTTGCAAGGTGATGAGTTCTGCATGCAAATAAAAACAGTCAAGACTCGTAGTAGAGGTAATATCTTTTATTAGACCAAGTAGATTTTTGCAAAAAAAGAGTCTTTAATTGCAAAAATCTAGTTGGTCTAATAAAAAGATATCGCCTCTACCACAAGTCCTGATTGCTTTTGCCTCTAGATCAGTACGGCTACAAGCTAGTGGATACCCTGTGCAAATAACTTCTTTTAATTTATGTATTTCATAATTCTATAAACCATGTTAATTATTTGAAAGATAATGATGCTCAGACTTCCTCCTTTTTTGCACAGCTGTGCTCCCCATTATGCCGCCCATCCTGTTTGCCTGTCTTGTTCACCTGTTGCATTATGAACTCTCTGGCAATGGAGTTGCTTACTTTTTCTTTATATTATACCGAGCACAATGGGGCCCTAATACTTGATTGAGGTACCTACATGCTTCTGTAATACATTATTAATAAAACAACACCTTCAGTAAAACTTTGAGAAACAGTCCATGTATTAACAATTTCCTCAGTATCGTCTGTGTATTCTCTTACTTTTATATTATTATTTCATTATTTTCATCTCCTTCTCTTACTTATTCCTTACTTGAAATCAGACTTATTTGGCAGCATCTTAAATTGAATTTACTGAATTTGACAAGGATTTATTATATTGGTTTAAATAAGCTTTGGATCAGGTATTTTGTGACAAAACAATAATCTGTGCAACTGATTGAGAAGTTACCACTGAGGAAGTAGTTGATCAGTTCTAAAGAAATGTCAAGTTTGTTTTCAAGTAAGGACACTGACTAATTAAAATGAGGGAAAGTAAGCGAGGAAAATATGGCGCACAGACTTACTTGTGAATAGAACTTTTCAAAATATTGGCCTAGTTTGAAATGCAGCTATAGAACTATTTGAAGAAATAATAATTTGTTTTAATAATTTAAGTTAAAAGCTGGGGGTGTTAGGAAACCACTTGATTTTTTGTATTTATTTTATTAATAATACAGGAAAATCTTTTATTCCTGTGCCCCAAAATTTATATACTCTCTAAGAGGTGTTTTGAGATTCTTTCAGATTGTTAATTTAAAATCTAACTTAATGTCTGGATCTGAATTAGAAAAACACAAGACTTATTAAGACATCTACATTCAGATTCTATTCCAGCTATTAGGTACATAAGTAGACTAAGGTGCCTGTGCCAGTGGTCCTCAAAATACAGTCCATGGGTTAGATCCACCTTGTGGAATCAAGTCATCTGGCCCATGGAGCTTCCCATGCATTTGGAAATTTAGCAGTGGCAGTGTTAATTGATGGAACTCATGGAGCCCTAAGGCAATTAATGCTGCCACTACTCTCTCACCATTACATTTTTGGACTTGTGAAGAGTCCCATGGCCTGAATGAGCTGGGACCACATGCTGGATTGAGCTGCCACATGGGCCCTGTCCATGGCTAGGCCTGGTGCACAGGGTTGGACTTGGCACGTGACCCTGGACCCAGCATATGGGGTCAGTTTGCAGCCCTGGACCTAGCACATAGGGCTGGTCCGTGGCCAGACCCATGGTACGGAGTCAGTTTGTAGACTGGATTTGGCCTGCAGACCTGGGCCTGTGTGCCAGATCCAGCCCACAGACTGGCTGTGCCCCACTCATCTAATCCACATGCTGGAAAGGTTGAGCACCACTAGCCTATTCTATTCCACCTTGCTCACATTCAGTCTTAAGGGGAAGATGGCTGTCTGTGCAAAAGTAGATGGACGAATTAATCGTCAAGACTTGAACAGGGAATAGGATAGAATTTTACTTAAGGCTTAAGTCACCTTAGAATTAAATGACTAAGAGGTGGAATAGAATCTGGCCCTTAGTCTATACTCCTGCCAGCACAGTATTTTTTCCTACAATATATTTTCTATAGCTTTGCTTGATGCCTTATATAAAGGAGGATTCTTGTGACAGGGCTTCCACAGTACAGTATCCCTTTGCTGAGGAAGAAGGAGAAATAATATGAAGAGCAACTGAACAATAATTGCTGAAAAATGCTATCTCTGTTTTGAGTTTTCTTTGTTACCTTGCCCTTTTCTAGTATGGTTAATAGAATTAAAATACAGGTGAAAGTTCACCAGGATAAACATGTCTTGTTTGGGAAGGGGTATTGGTGTAGGCCTCATGCAGGAATATGCTGATTATGTTGTCTCTTTCTCCCACCATGAGTTCACCATCTGACCAAGTTTTGAGGTGACATAGTTCTTGAACTCCTTTTTTTACAATCCAGATGCTATGCATGTAATCATCAAAGTATAGCTGGGATTAATTGAGGGGAAAAAGAGGACTGAAAAATGAGATTGGGGAAAAATAAAAATCCTTTTTTTTTTTAAATTCAAAAGGTCAAATCCATGTTGATAACAAGTTAAAGGATATTCAATCCCGGCTAGAGCGAGGAGAAGAAGTAAAAGGTGGGCTGCTCACATATCTCCTATTAAATAAAGAGCTTAACTTGGAAGAAATCTATGCCAATATGACCGAAATGCTTCTGGCAGGAGTGGACACAGTAAGAGACTTACTATTATCATTGTTGTTGTTTGTTATTTTCCTTTGGGACAGTTTGATTGCTCGACAATTAAGCTAGCTTTACATTTTAAGTATTTTTTTGTTCATCATAGAAATGATGGAAAATTCTTATCAAATAATTTAGTTTGTCCACTGAGCCAGTACAGGATTGCTCTTCTTAAACGAGCAGTTTTACTCTGAACTGCCAAAGCAGTAAGGTCGTACCATTTTCTTTGGAGACTACTTCATGTTTTAATAAACAGAGGCAATTGCTAGAAAGTTTTTCTTTATGTTCATCTTGGGTTTGTTTTAAAATTTGGATGTGATCAATATTTATTGTCATTTAAGGAGGACTGCAATAGGCACATGATTGAGGTTCCTATAAAAAAAAAAAAACCCGATCAGAAGCTAGCATATAGAAGTTGCTAATGGATTTTGCTGTTTACAGTTAATCAACAGAGAAGCATTGTGGATAAGAAGCTTGACCTTCACTGGGGTCCCTTTGCATTACTGGGATGATGCAAGTGTATTTTAGACCAACACTTAAGGGGAGGGTGATATGGATTCCATCATCAAGGAAAAAGACTAAGCTTAGCCAGCTTTCAGCCATCCCCTCCTATTTTTGGAGGCATTCTTAGGCAGGGAGATGGTTTACTGGAGCCCAGAGGCAGTGAAGTTCAAGTGTGATCCATGTGTTTGATGTGTCATTTTAGACAGGCCAACGTAGACTAGCCATTGAATTAGTTGTTTTTAATATTGAGGTGCACAGAAATTGTTTATAGTCACATTTTCCTCCCCATAGCTTCATAGCATCAGTCTGGCATACATAATAATTTCACTCGATGGCTGGCATCATCAGCAGAGAAATAAATTAGGTGTATCTTAGAGTCTGTAGTTAAACAAGATGTTTTGCATTGAGCCTGGATAGGTTTGATAAAGGGGAACAGCACCATGTTGGACTTCTTGTCAGTAGCCTTGAAATAAAAAATACAGCTCATTTGCTGACAATTAGATTCAGCTTGATCTGGGTCTGAAAGAAGTCTGGACATTGTGGGTGTTGTGAAGAAAAGAAACTTTGTGGGTCCCAGAATAAAGAAGACACACAGGGACTTATAAATTGAGAAGTACTCCATTGAATAAGCTTTCCAGAAGCTTATGAGTTTGAAGAGCTTTTAGGGCTTGTTTTGTTTTATTGTTATTCAAGTTCATTAAGTCATCCCATTAGTTTTCCAGACTTTAAAAGTATGAATTTTAACTCTTTTATAAAAAAGTGAATTTCCATTAAACTGAAAGGGCAGGGTACAAGTTCATGCCAGTGGAGTCTCTTTACATTTGACTCAACCTTCGTTGATTGGCAACAATTACTTTTTTGTGAGAAACCTGTACTTTTGGCTTCCTCATTTTTAGTACATTTTTAGAAACTGAGAGACTCCTGTTTCCCCACTGCTGTCATTTCAGGTCTTGTTTTATCATAGAAACTGAAGGAACTCAAGGATTATGGAAGGCTTTGAACAAAATTGTAAGGCTGTGTTTGGCTACAAAGCATTTTGGCTGTTCTAGCATAGTGCCAGTTTTGAAGAGGATGTGAAGGAGCTGGGAACCTGAAAGGGAACACTGTTTATGTCACAGTAACTTCTGTATGTAGTTTGGCATTATTGCCATCTTTTGCAAGGAGGAGCAGTGCAGAGTTGAGCTCGAGTGAAGGGCAGTTTCTCTGAATGTCATGAGAACAGGAGGTTGGGACTGAAAGGAGATCTCCTGGGGACAGGACTACCAGCGTTATGTCCCAGTCTGTGAATAATAAATGGCTTAAAAGGTCACTTGCTTTCTAATTTAGGCTTTCTAAAAGTAAGACCAAAATAAATGTTTCCACGAGTTGTTCCTTTTTCCACACATTGTTTCCAACCCCAACACTGCAACATTGTGCTAGGATGCAAGAACCTGAAAGTAAAGCAAATTCGTAATAGTGAAATTATCCATGTGTTTTCCTTCTGCCGCATAAGAGACATGAATATACAAATGACATGAATAGTGAAAAATAAATTGGATTGACATTTCATAGTTTCATAGTTAGTAGGGTCAGAAGGGACCTGAGCAGATCATCAAGTCCGACCCCCTGCCATGGCAGGAAAGAGTACTAGGGTCAAACGACCCCAGCAAGGTGATTGTCTAGCCTTATTTTAAAGAGCCCCAGGGTAGGAGCCAGCACCACTTCGCTTGGAAGTTGGTTCCAGATTCTAGTTGCCCTGACAGTGAAGTAGCACCTCCTGATGTCTAGCCAGAATCTACCCTCTGTCATCTTGTGACCGTTATTTCTGGTCACTTCTGGTAATGCTCGGGGGAACAGGGATTCCCCCAATGCCAGCTGGTCCCCTCTGACTAATTTGTAACAGGCCACTAGATTCCCCCCTCAGCCTCGTCTTGTGGAGGCTGAACAGGTTCAGGTCCCGTAGCCTGTCCTCGTAGGTCCTGCCCTGCTGCCCCCTGACCATGCGAGTGGCCTCCTCTGGACCCTCTTCATGTTGTCCACATCCCTCTTGAAGTGTGGCACCCAGAACTGGACGCAGTACTCCAGGTACGGCCTGACCAGTGCCGCATAGAGGGGGAGGATCACCTCCTTGGACCTGCTTGAGATGCATCTGTGGATGCATGTCAAGGTGCGGTTGGCCTTCCTGACTGCATCCCCACACTGCCGGCCCATGTTCATCTTGGCATCAATGATGACTCCAAGATCCTTTTCTGCCTCTGCCCTGACGAGAAGGGAGTTCCCCAGTCTGTAGGTATGGTGCTGGTTCTTCCTCCCCAGGTGCATCACCTTGCACTTGTCAGTATTGAATCCCATCCTATTCTCGTCCACCTACCCCTGTAACTTGTCTAGGTCCAATTGCAGCCTATTCCTTCCTTTTAGCATGCCCACATCCCCCCACATCTTAGAGTCATCAGCAAATTTGAACAGGGTGCTTTTTACCCCCTTGTCC